CCCCTGCTCCGCAGACCTAACTCTTAGCCAGAAGCAAGATGGGCATGTTTAGAGCATAGTTGTGTATTAATAATACACCTTCAAAGCGCCCTTTCCTTCTTCAAAAAAAACCGAGTGGCACAAGCTGAGCTTGCCCAGGGGCATTCATTTTAACCCTTCAGATGGTTACTCCCTGACCAAAGTGTGCCCATCATTCTTCCTTAAGTATGCTCTTAAAACTGAGCATGCTCAAGAATATACCCACCCCTAAAGTAGGTTTGCTTAGAGAGGGGGCATTATTTCCTTTTGTTTTGTTGTTTTGAGGCAGGCCATGAATTTCTGGTCCTCTGCCTCCACGCCGCCAGTGTTGGGATTCCAGGCACGCGCCACCCCGCGTTTCCACTCTCACACCTGGCATTTGCATTCCTGCTTTGCGGTCCACTGAGTTCGGTTATTGACCACACCCTCTTTACCCGCTGTTGTTAAACCAGGCAATCATTTCCTGAGTTCATTCCCTCGCACCTTTACAAGTACAGCCAGTGGTAGCCGGAAAGAGCCAGCGCACGCTGCTAACATTTGACTTTCAAGTCTCAGCTCAGGCCTTAGGTATATTAGTTATCTGTCATTCAAATTGCCACAGGAAATTGTTTTACCAATTGTTTACCAGTCTCCCAGAGCTGCTTCTCACTCCGGGGCCTGATCTTTCACCTCACTGTCTTATTACACTTGAACTGGTCTCTCTCTCTCTCTCTCTCTCTCTCTCTCTCTCTCTCTCTCTCTCTCTCTCTCTCTCTTTCTTTTTGAGACAGGGTTTCTCTGTACCCACACTGGCTGTCCTCAAACTCACAGAGATCTGTTTGCCTCTGCCTCTCAAGTGCTGGATTTAAGCCATGCGCCACCACGGCCCGGCTCAGCTCTCTCTGCTGTGAAGAGCAAAGGTTTATTTATACATGCTTTCAAAAGGTGGACTCACAACAGTTGAAATTACTGATTTTTTTTTGATTTATTTATTTCATGTCCACGTGTTTATGTGCATGTCAGGGGGCACACATGGAGGTCTGAGGTCTGTTTTTTCTTGTGTGGGTTCCAGGGCTCTCATTCAGGCTCAAATACCTTCACGTGCTGAGCTTTCTCCCCAGTTTAAGGTTTCTAAAGCTTAATTGGCTTTATTTTCAATTTTAGCAATTTTCCAGTGGGCCAACCAAAGATCTTTGGTACGGGCAGGAAAGGCCTGGAAAGCAGAGTCAATAAAATGTAAATCAATCAGTCATTAGACAGGTATTTCCTTTATGGCAGGAAAGGGGAATCCGCATAGAAAAAGAATTGATAGCATGAAGTCATTTCTTTCCTCTATGTTTTGTTTCTTTTTCTCGGGGAAGGATCTCAGGAATCCTAGCTGGCCTGCAACTCACTGGATAGCCTAGGCTGGCCTATAATTTGTAGCAATCCTCCTGCCTCAGTATCCAAGGCGAGGATTATAGATAGGAGTCCCTACTCATAGCTAGGTTGCTTCTTTGTGTAAGGATTAAAAGTGGGGTGTGGGGCGGAGGATTCTAGCAGAAGCTGGCTTGTTTGGGGTGGGGTGCAGTTCCTGGTATTTTTCTAATCTCGATTTTTCGGGAGGTCAGACCAATCAATAGCTTAGTTCCAGATGGGTGTGAGTGACTCCACGGAGTTAGTTTGGTCTTTTGGGGAGTAGGGGAAGTGCTTAGTCCAAACAGTGGTCTCCTGTTTTTATTTAACACTTGTTTATGGAAGTGTTCTTGGTGAAATCCAAACATGGTCTCTTATTGTTGATTCCTCTGGTTTATTCTCACTGACCTCCTCCTCCTCCTTTGGGGATTTAGCTCAGGGCCTTGCTCCTGTCACACAGGCTACTTACCTCTGAGTTATGTCAGCCTTTGTTTTGTTTCTGTTGTACCTACCATCTGGTTTGGGGAGGGTAGTAAGGAGTGAATGCTAGCATTCTGTGTCTAGGCTGGGCATGGCTTCGGGTAGGCATACTAGTTCAGCTGGGTTTATCCGCATATCTGGGCATCCATCTGTGGCACGTGTGGGGCGTTGGCGGCGGCACGGAGTGTTCTTTCTTCCTTCCCCTTCTCTCCTCTCTCCATTGACAGTGTGGCTCTGACGGAGGCTTCGGTTCAGGCAGATCTCGCTTTCAGGAAGAGGAGTAGGAGTATACACACGCTTGGAAGAGCATTGTAGTGTGTGCAGAAGAGCATTGCTGTGTGCATGGCGGCAGAAAAGCAGGCGTGTGGGCAGACTCAGCCGTAAGGGTCTGAGGCAGGAGGCTCAAAAGTTTCAGATCAGTGTGGGCTACAGGACAAGACCTTATCTCAACCACCCCTTCTCTAACAATAGCTCCTTTCCTATCCTCCACTTCCCGTCACCCTAGGGATAGAATGTAGGTCCTTTCTTGTTCATTCGAGGTCCATGCCATGCTTCTGAGGAACAGCCTCAGTCTCTCTTCCTGACTCCTTCTCCCTGTCTCCAGGTCCTAGAACAATTTCCTCCTTAAATTAATGCAGTTCTTCCAATCTTTGTTCTTTTTTACCTTAGCCCAAACTGCTCATCAAACATTGTACTACATTTTCGTAACATTACACATTTTTCCTGCCATTTTGACGCTTTGGCCCAAAAGCAAGTGAGGCTTCTGAATAACTTGTAGAATGTTCAGGAATCTTGCTGTGCTTTTAAGAGTCAGTCATTTTCAGTTGCCTGTGCTTAGCAAGATTTAACCAAATAGAAGGTTTTGAGGGGGCTCTTCCTCCTGTCATTCTGTCTCCCATGGTTGCTGAATTCTTCCAACTGCTGATCGCACTAAAAGCAGCCAGAATACAGTCTCATTCCCTCTGTCTAGCCTCTGTCTGGGTCGCCACTCCTTCCATGTCTGTTACTTTAGCAGATCTAAGGTCTCCTGTCCTTTCTGCCGGCTCACATCCATTAACGTAGGGACTGAATGTCTCTCATCCTTCTTTGATTCCCCTGGTTTTTTTTTTTTGTTTTGTTTTGTTTTGTTTTTTCTTTTCAAAAAGGAAAAGGCTGAGGATGTAGCTCAGTTGGTAGAGTCCTTGCCTTGTATGCACGAGGACCTAGGTTCAATCTCCAGCGCCCCATAAACCAAGCATGGCACATCTGTAACTCCAGAACTCAGGAAGTGGAAGCTGGAGGGTCAGAGTTCAAGGGGATCCATGGATACACATTGAGTTTGAGGCCAGCCTGGGCCACATAAGACCCCGCCTCAAAGCAAAAAGCAAATACAAAGATAAGCATCTGCACCTGTCTGTGTGTACACTGCCCCAATCTCTTGCTTTTCTCATTAATGGAAATTTGGGGAAAGTTCTTCCAGTGAGATCAGGTTTCCTACTGTCTAGTGTCCCACAGTTTAGATAGGAGTCATACTCTTCCTTTCTTTGCTAAAGGGCAGACACTTTGTTTATAGTTTGTTTGAATAGTTGTGTTAATTTGGTCATTCTATTTTTAAGATCTACCTTTCCTATTTTTAAATTAATGTGTCTGTGTCTCTGTATGTGCACATGTGTGCCCCTGTGTCTGAGGAGGCCAGAGGTGCCGGGTCTCTTGGGAAGTGGAGTTCCGGACAGTTGCGGTAGGTGCTGGGAACAGGAGAAGAGCAGTCTGTGCACTTAGCCCTCACGGAGCCATTGCGCCACCCCAGTTACACTATTAACAGGCTTATATGTACCCTGGAATACTTAGACATTTTGTTAAGACAGGGGCCTTATTCTACAGAATCAGCTACAGCTGAGCTAGAGCTCAGGCTGCCCTGGAAATCAAAACAGGCAGTCCTTCTATCTCAACTTCCCGAATGCTAGGATTACAAACATTTACAGACTTGTTCCACACCTGGCTTGGGCCTTTTTTTTTTTTAATGTACCTTTAGGACTGATTGTTTGTTTGTTTGTTTTACGAGACAGAGTCTTTACATAGCTCTAGCTGTTCTGGAACTCACTATGTAGACCAGGAAACTCAAACTCAGAAAGATCCACCTACCTCTGCCTCTCATGTGGTAGGATTAGAGACACGTGACACCACACCCTGGCTACTTTAGTTTTATCATGTTGTCAGAACTTAGTCAAAACTGTTATCTTTGAAATACTATACACACACACACACACACACACACACCCCATATGCTAAACAAGCACTTACCAACTGTCGAATGGATGCTTTGAGTCATAAATGAAACAGCAGTGAGGTTTAGGAAAGGCTGTGTGCAGTGTAGGGATATTTTCCTTGCACACTTTTCCCTCGACCTCATGAGTAGAAAGCCAGGAGATCCTGGCAGCACACAAAAGACCTTTATTAGATCCCATCATACTCAGTTGGCAAGGGTTTATAGAGACAACCTGTAGGGTCGAAATAAAAGCATTCAAAGGCGCATTTTGTTCCCAGAATCAGTCTGTCTTGTCTTCCCTCCCCTCTTCTCCTCTCCTCTAAGGCTGTAGCCCACACTGGCCTTCAGCTTGCAATCCTCCTGCCTCAGCTCCTGTGTACTGGTGTGTATCACTGTTCCAGGCTTAGGAACGCATCCATTAATTTGGCTAAGATTTCTATAAAATAACATTTAGAGTATGATCTATGCAAGAAGAAAAGAAAATGTCTTCCAACATTGGACTAGCGCAGACAGGGCTTGGCAGGGTTCTTGAGTCCCCAAAGCAAAACTGAGGCTGACTTCGGATTCTGCAGAACGCTGTGCTGGCTCTCTTAATTCTCAGTGACTGTACACAGCTGTGGGTACCACCGGGCCTCCGTCTCTCTGCACCTCATTTTAGATTCGTGTAGTTGACCTGAGGCAGGCCGATCTCTGAGTTTGAGGCTAGCCTGATCTACAAAATGAGTTAAAGGACAGCCAAGACTCCACAGAGAAGCCCTGTCTTGTAAAACAAAAACAACAAAACAAAAACAAAGAAAAAGGAAATTTAATGTTGAATGCACGACCTCCTTGAATATCCCAGCCCTGAGCCTGCAGCCTCATTCTTTTCTCTTCTGCCCCCCAGCATTCCCATGGTTTGGTATGGATATTGGCGGAACCCTGGTTAAGCTGGTCTACTTTGAACCAAAGGATATCACGGCAGAAGAAGAACAGGAAGAAGTGGAGAACCTGAAGAGCATCCGGAAGTATCTGACTTCTAACACTGCCTATGGCAAAACTGGAATCCGAGACGTCCACCTGGAGCTGAAAAACCTGACCATGTGCGGGCGCAAAGGGAACCTGCACTTCATTCGCTTCCCCACCTGTGCCATGCACATGTTCATCCAGATGGGCAGTGAGAAGAACTTCTCCAGCCTCCACACCACCCTCTGTGCCACGGGAGGCGGGGCCTTCAAGTTTGAAGAGGACTTCAGAATGGTAGGTTGGGCTTGCCATCGTGAGATCAGCCAGGCCTCTCACGCGACCACAGTCTGGGCTGCTGAGATCTATACCATTAACCTTGGGACTTGGACTTGTCTGTGCCGTGGTTTTCTCACCCATATAAGAGATATTTGACCTGTTTCATAGTGTTGTTCCAAGAAAGGTCAAATGAGGAAATGTACCTGGTTCTTATTGAGTACTTAACGTCTGTTATCTTCACTTCCAGGGCACAGGCTGGTCTTGAACTCACCATGAGGCCAAAGATAACCCAAACTTCTGGTTCTCTCACCGAGTCCTAGGGTTACATTTGTTGCCAGGATGATTTGTATGATGCTGGGACTGAACAGCTGTATCATATGTCACAATAAGATGGTATCTATCACCTTCAGAGACAGGACGGGTTTTTCCACAGACTCTTACTACATAATCATGAGGCCAGTTCTGTGGATATATAGACTAAGACCCACAGGAAAACGTCCTATAGCTCTAACTAAAAATGATTTACTTCTTTATACCCGTTTGCTCTCATGCATGTCTCAGTTCTGTGAGTCCCATTCGGAAGTTTCTCTTTTGGCTGGCCATCATGGTGCATACCTGTGATGTACTTGGGATGTAGAGGCTGAAGGACCAAGGCTAGCCACTCTGCCACAAAAACAAACAAACAAACAAAAAACCTATATCGAAAGCATCCTCACTATTATTTATTGGTAAATTTCTTCATTATTGAACATCATCATTGAACAAGGTAGACACAGGTACACAGTGCTTAGTATTAGATGTGGAGAAGTAACATTTATCCCAGGTTCTCTCTCTATTTAGCAGTCCCTTGACATCTGCATTCTCATTTCTCCATCTCTTCAGTCAAGATACTAATCTCGCCACTGACTGGCTTCATCTCTTGGGGGTAAAGTAAGAATAAAATTAAGGGTCAAATGTAGGTCTGTTGAAATTGGAGCGGCGGGGCTGCGTCCCCAGCACCCCAGCTGCCCGCTAGCTTATGCCCGAAATAACAACACACAAACTGTATTCATTTAAACACTGCTTGCCCATTATATCCAGCCTCTTCTCGGCTAACTCTTGCACCTGGACTACCCCATTTCTAATAATCTGTGTAAGCACCCCAAGATGCGCTTACCAGGAAGATTCTAGCCTACGTCCATCCTGGGTCGAAGCTGCCTGGGAGAGCAGAGCCGGCGTCTCTGCTCCAGAGAGCAGAGCTGTCGAGTCTCTCCGGGAGCAGAGCAGAGTCTGACCTCACTTCCTCTTCCTCCCAGCATCCTATTCTGTTTACTCCTCCCACCTATGTTTTAACCTATCAGGGCCAAGGAGTTTCTTTATTGCTTAACCAGTGAAATCAACAGATTGATATATGACACTCCCACATCATAGGTCTATCTTGGAAAGTACAGGCAGATATGTGCTTGATCATAGGTGAAGGGAAGGTTAGAAGATGCCAGGATTGATCATCTCACAAAGTTGGCAAGCCGGTGAGACGTGTTGTGGAATGCAACTTTCAAAGCCTGCAGCGCAGACACCTGCGTTTTCTCACAGAACAAGTGTAATCCAGTCTTGGTAGAAAAACCTGTGATTATTGCATAGCGAACAATCATGTTGTTCATGGTGTTTAATAAAGCTGAAAGATGCAAAGTTTGCCCGTCAAAAGGTACACCGTTTCCATCACTGATTTCAGCGAGTCATATTCTGGGGATGGCTGCGATGCCACTGATAAAATCCGGGACCCAGGCTTGAGTGCACGCTATACAAACTGACCCTTCAGGGGGTACTTTCCGGAGGAGCTGGCTGCAGTCCTGCAGCAATAACCTGGCTAGGCTGATTAGCTCCAGGTTTTAACCATTTTCTTCTGTGTCAGCCTTCCCTACACAGCTATAGACTTTGGTACAACCATTTACTCAAGTGACTCATGGGTGGGGGCTTCTTCCCTGCTACAGGGATCCCGTAACCAAACAGTTTTGAAATAAAATACAGCGAAGGAGCACAGATGGGAGAACTAAACTTAAGTCCGTCATGGGGTGGGAGCGGGTGGTTTGAACCTGAATTCTAGTTCTGTTTCTGCATTTACCTGCTCGGTGACTTTTGCTGATGTGTGTTTCTCCTGTGGGCCTCAGTTTCGTCATCCGCAAAACAGTAGCAGCAATGTGGGGAGAGGGTGAGGGGCATCCAGGACAAAAGAACTAAAAGAGATAATCACATTCTTGCACTGTGTGAAGAAGCAAAGGCTTGCAGGCCTTGAAGAGGCTTTTGCATAGCAATGCCTGCTGGGTAAGATCTGGTCTTGGACTCCATTTTAATTCAGAAGGAGAGCTGACTTTGTGTGGGAATGAGATACGTTTCTTAAGCGTGTGTGTGCACCGGAGAGCCCGACGTGAACCAAGATGACCTGATAGATTTATGCAACCTCTGTCATCCCTCCATCCCTCCTCAGGGTTTGCTCATGTCCTAGGAGAAAGACTTACTCAATCTGTGTTGGCCATGAGCAAGTGTGTTTCCTAAGGTCCTGAACTGAGAAAGGTCGTATCATCCTTGAGGCAGTGGCTTGAAGCCTAATGACTAGACCAGGGGAGGGAGCATTTACTAAATGGATATTTACTAAACTCTTTGGTGTACTTCTTTATTTACTCTTCACTCCGTAAGGGGGGCCCACCACCCAGCTCCCAAATAAATACACGGAGGCTTATTATTACATATAAATGCCTGGCCTTATCTTGGCTTGTTTCTAGCCAGCTTTTCGTATCTTAAATTATCCTGTCTGCCTTTTCCCTCTGGGCTTTTATCTTTCTTCTGTAAGTCTTACTTTCCTCCTTACTGTGAGCCTGGCTGTGTGACTGGCCCCTGACGTCCTTCTCTTGCTCCTCCTCCTTTCTTTCCGAAATTCTCCTTCTATTTATTCTGTCTACTTGCCGGCCCCACCTATCCTTTCTCCTGCCTTGCTGTTGGCCATTTAGTTCTTTACTAACCATCAGGTGTTTTAGACGGACAAAGAATCACAGCTTCACAGAGTTAAACAGAGGCAGCGTAAACAAAAGCAACACACCTTTATATCACTAAACAAATGTTCCATGGCATAAAAAAACGTAGCACACCTTAAAATAATATTGACCGAACTGTTTCCATCCGTATTGGACTAACAGCTGTCTTCTGTTTCCATGATAAGTCTTGGTCAACATTAAGACAGAATTGAGAAAGATTTCTTCCCATGATTGAATAGATGATGTTCTTTTATCCAAAGCTTGTGAGGATGGATAGGCTTCTCCTGTCTTCTTTCTGTGTAGCCCTGCATCCACTCAACACATGGTTTATCGTGCCCCTTCTGTGTGCTACATGTCTCCTGACTACCTTGTGGTCAGTGATCAGATAAGCAAGTGAATGTGCAATGTATTAAATATATAGATGTTTTATATGTTTAATACACATTTTATATGTTTAATATACATTAAAATATGTGTGTGTGTCTCATGAAGGAGAAATAGACGCAAAGGAAGGATAGAGAGTATTGGGAGGGGTCCAAGATGTGATGAGGTAACACTGAAGCAAACCTTGAGAAGTAATAAATACTAGGCCGTACAGATATTTTAGGCAAGTGGATTAGTAAGTGTTAATGCACATATGTGTCCAGAGTCCCAGCTCCTGGGTGTTGTACAATAGAAAGCTGAAGACTTAGGAAGGAAGGAAGGGTCACTATATAAGCTAGGACAAGTGTTCTCAACCTAGTAGAGACCCCCACAGGGGTCACATGTCAGATATCCTGCATATCAGATATTTACATTATGATTCATAACAGTGGCAAAATTACAGTTATGAAGTAGCAACAAAATAATTTTATGGTTGTGGGTCACCACAGCATGAGGAACTGGACTAAAGGGTCTCAGCATTAGGAAAGTTGAGAACCACTGTTCGAGGAGCTGCATGGTTGTCTTTATCAGTTAATCCTGTTAATCCTTGCTATTCATTCATGAGGACCAGAGTGTGGATCCAATCACTCACACTAGGCAGCACACAACCAACTGTAACTCCAGATCCAGATCCAACATTCTTCTGTCCACACACACACACACACACACACACACACACACACACACGAACACACAGATACATACAGAAAGAAACTAAGAAAAGAATATATGCTACTCTCTGCATTAAACAGTTTGCACAAGAACAAATCACATGTGTGTAAAATGATGGTGTTGTGTAGAATCGCTGCTTTTGGAGTGTCGAACTCTTGAGTTATCAGACCCAAGCAGACGATCTTCAGCAAACTCTGAATAGTTTGCACTTGTTAGGTGTGAGGACTGCATCCCAGATATATATAGCAAATGCACTTACATTTTTAGGAAGTGTTAGTTGTTCTTTCTTTCATTTAGAATAACCAGAAAAGGCTGTAACTGATGAGATAGTCTTTGAATTAGACTCTTCTCTAGGATATTTTTGATTGAACAAGGCTCTATTTCAATTTTATTCTGTTTCATAGAGTCTCTTCTTTTAATTTCAGTTTAAAAATTTTAATTTTTACCTCTGTTTTTATGTGTATGGGTGTTTTACCTATACATATGTCTGTATATCAGTGTCTGTGGAGGCCAGAAGAAAGTCAGATCCCCTGGGACTTAAGTTACAGATAGTTGTGAGCCGCCATGTGGGTGCTGGGCATCAAACTTAGGTCCTCTGGAGGAAGAGCCAGTGCTTTTAACCACTGAACCATTCCTCCAGCCCCTATTGATTTTTTTTTTTTATTTAACATTTAGGATCATGGTCCTAACAAAGCTTCTTACTTGAGACAGGATCTTACTGTGTAGCCCTAACTCCTAATCCTCCTGCCTCTGCCTCCCAGGTGCTGGGATTGCAGCACGCATCAATATTCCTGACCTTAAGTCAATTCATGATTGGTGTATATTCGTTTTCTAAATTAATGATGTAGCAAGCTGGAGTGCAAAGCCTAGCCTAATATTAAATGGGGACCAGTGAGATAGCTCAGTGGGTAAAGA